AAAATCTGAGAAACTGACATTCGAGGAATTCTGAAAATTCAAAAACTCTGAAAATCTACAAAATTCTGAAAGTTTAAAAATTCTGAAAATTCAAAAATTCTGAAAATTTGGAAAATGCTCAAAATCTGAGAATCTGACATTCGAGGAATTCTGAAAATTCAAAAACTCTGAAAATCTACAAAATTCTGAAAGTTCAAAAATTCTGAAAATTCAAAAATTCTGAAAATCTGGAAAATGCTCAAAATCTGAGAATCTGACATTCGAGGAATTCTGAAAATTCAAAAACTCTGAAAATCTACAAAATTCTGAAAGTTCAAAAATTCTGAAAATTCAAAAATTCTGAAAATTTGGAAAATGCTCAAAATCTGAGAATCTGACATTCGAGGAATTCTGAAAATTCAAAAACTCTGAAAATCTACAAAATTCTGAAAGTTCAAAAATTCTGAAAATTCAAAAATTCTGAAAATTTGGAAAATGCTCAAAATCTGAGAATCTGACATTCGAGGAATTCTGAAAATTCAAAAACTCTGAAAATCTACAAAATTCTGAAAGTTCAAAAATTCTGAAAATTCAAAAATTCTGAAAATTTGGAAAATGCTCAAAATCTGAGAATCTGACATTCGAGGAATTCTGAAAATTCAAAAACTCTGAAAATCTCAAAATTCTGAAAGTTCAAAAATTCTGAAAATTCAAAAATTCTGAAAATCTGGAAAATGCTCAAAATCTGAGAATCTGACATTCGAGGAATTCTGAAAATTCAAAAACTGTGAAAATCTACAAAATTCTGAAAGTTTAAAAATTCTGAAAATTCAAAAATTCTGAAAATCTGGAAAATGCTCAAAATCTGAGAATCTGACATTCGAGGAATTCTGAAAATTCAAAAACTCTGAAAATCTACAGAATTCTGAAAGTTCAAAAATTCTGAAAATTCAAAAATTCTGAAAATCTGGAAAATGCTCAAAATCTGAGAATCTGACATTCCAGGAATTCTGAAAATTCAAAAACTCTGAAAATCTGGAAAACTCTGAAAGCCTGTGAAACTGGCAAGCAATTCGTCAAAACTATAAAATCTAAGAATCTAGGAATCTGAAAATCTGGAATTCTGCAAAATTAAAAAATTCTGAAAATCTGAAACTAGCCCGCAATTCAATTCCGGAAAAACGGAAAATCTAGGAATCTGAATGTTCTGGAGTTCTAAAAATTCAGGAAATCTGAAAAACTTTGCGTTCGGAAAATCTGGAAAATTCTGAAATTCTGGGAAATCCGAGAATCTGAAATTTGGAAAAGTTCTGAAATTCTGAAAATCTGAAAAATTCTGAAAATGTGGAAAATCTAGAAATCTGAATCTTTTGAAATTTTGAAATTGTGGAAAATCCAAGAATCTGAATTTTTGAAAATTCAGAAAATCTGGGAACCTGGAATTTGATAAATATTGAAAAACACTTAAAATCGAAAAAATGCACAAAATCGGGAAATATTATGCTTTTGGGATTCTGAGCGTAGAATATTCTGAAAATCTGGAAAATCCAAGTATCTGGAATTTCAGAAAATCTGAAAATCCCTAAAGCTGAAAAAAACAGAAAACCTGAGATGGTTCTGAAAATCCAAAAATGTCTGAAATTCTGAAAAAAAACTAGGAAAAACTAAAATTTGAAAATTTCGGAAACTCCAAAAACATGGAATTTCAAAAATTTTGGAAAATCTGAATTTTCTAAAAATCTTAAATTTTGCCAAAATCCAAGAATCTGG